TCTATTCTATTCTATTCTATTCTATTCTATTCTATTCTATTCTATTCCTATTTCTAATTCTATTTCTAATTCTATTTCTATTTCTAATTCTAATTCTAATTCTAACTCTATCTAACCAGGAATGAAGAACCTAGCCTACTGTTGATCATCAACTCAACATCTATTGGCCAAAGCAGCACCAGAGAACAAGAACAAGCTTATTTCTAACCAAATGTGGAATTCCACAAGGGTTGCTTTCTCACAATTTCCAACCTGTAGAAGTAGAAGCACTATTCATTTTATTTATTCACACGTTTATTCACCTAAAAGAGGCTCAGGTTGACTGTTCTCTCTCACCTTTCCATATTATAATCTCAACAAACCTGTGAAATAGGGCGGACAGTGGAGCGACGGTGGTAGCTCTGAATCACCCACTGAGTTGATAATGGACATTTTTTTCCCCCTTTGTTCCTTCTTTCTCCTTTTTTGTGTTAATTTAAAACGAAACTTTTGGGAGATGCCTAGAATTACCTGTGAGGTTCTCTGGGTATTTCTCACATCGTATGTGGACTCGCTATCTTATAAAAGCAGAAGAAATGGTCCAGCAGTCCTGCTGTGCCGAAGAATACTGCAAATTTGAGGTGAAAGGACTTAGAGGATTTCTAGGAACTTTTATGCCCATTGCATGTCAGAAAGTAGATGTCAACTCATAAAACATTTCTATGCCTGATTTAGGGTTGCCCTGAATAGGGGGTGGGGGGGAGAAATTTGAAGGAGCAGTGGGGCAGTTTAAAACCGAAAGTGCATTCCATTCTTATCTTGCAAAGATTGTAACTAAGTGACCGGAGTTTCTGCCCCCAAAATCTCTAATTGGAGAACTTGATTGATGACTCTTGGCTATGAACATGTTTCGTTGGAGAATATGAATTATGATGCACCCAAAGGAGTGGGGGGAAGCCAGGGTAAAGGGTGACAGTGAATTACCTGTCTCAGAATCAGCTTCAAACAGGTCATGCCATCATGTTCACTCCTAATAAATTCTTTATAGTTTTTAAATCTTAGCTCGAGGCTCATGATTTAATTAGGGCAACTGCCGGAATCCCGATAATAGATTTATATTTACTTACTATAGACCTTTGAGCAATTTTTTTATTAGGTCCAACAAAAACCTGCCATATCCATTTTTTTTTCAAATTCTACAGTTCTCTTCATCAAGTTGGAAAATCAACCTCACTGGAATTCTGGATATGGCTAGTTCTTTTATGTTGTATCATTTATGCTCCTAAATCATGAGTCTCCAAACTTGGAAATGTTAAAGACTTGTGGACTTCCAACTCCCAGAATTCTGGGAGTTAAAGTCCACATGTCTGGTTTATGAGAATAATTCTGGGAGTTAAAGTCCACAGTCTGGTTTAAGAGAATAATTCTGGCAGTTAAGGTCCACAGTCTGGTTTAAGAGAATAATTCTGAGAATTAAAGTCCACAGGTCTAG